GTGTGTCTCTGTGTGTCTCTGTGTGTCTCTGTGTGTCTCTGTGTGTCTCTGTGTGTCTCTGTGTGTCTCTGTGTGTCTCTGTGTGTCTCTGTGTGTCTCTGTGTGTCTCTGTGTGTCTCTGTGTGTCTCTGCGTGTCTCTGTGTGTCTCTGCGTGTCTCTGTGTGTCTCTGCGTGTCTCTGCGTGTCTCTGTGTGTCTCTGTCTCTGTGTCTCTGTGTGTCTCTGTGTGTCTCTGTGTGTCTCTGTGTGTCTCTGTGTGTCTCTGTGTGTCTCTGTGTGTCTCTGTGTGTGTCTGTGTGTGTCTGTGTGTCTTTGTGTGTCTCTGTGTGTGTGTGTGTGTCTGTGTGTCTTTGTGTGTCTCTGTGTGTCTCTGTGTGTCTCTGTGTGTCTCTGTGTGTCTCTGTGTGTCTCTGTGTGTCTGTGTGTCTGTGTGTCTCTGTGTCTGTGTGTGTTTGTGTGTGTGTCTGTGTGTGTGTGTTAATGTGTGTAGGGTCACTGAGACAGGCGACCGTTCCGCTCATGTGACGTGAACCTTGGGCATTTGCGTGGTCATACGGGGCCGGCCAATAGCACGAGTTTGGGCAGCCCCTGGCATTGTTGCGTGGCACGTTGCTGTGAAATCTGTGTGCCGAAACCGCTAATGCAGATACCACCCTTCCATTAGCTGAAATGAATGTTTGTTTTACTTTCCCCTAGTTTTAAAGGGAATTCGCTTCTGGACATATGTTCTCATTTTCAGGCGGCGATGATTCGCAATGTAAAAAACGGGTTGAAAGATGGCACGACTTGAGGAGTTGCACCGACTACTTTCACACAACTCGTTTGACTACACAAAAAGTGAGTCCCATGTAGGCCCGTTGGACATGGTCGGTTGGTTTCTTGGTGTTTCTGAGGTTTCTGGTTGGCCATCCGGTTGACTGGTCTTCGTCTGTTGTATATTCTTGGGTTTGTCCGTAGCGCTTTGTCGGCTTTGGGGAGATGTCAGTTTACAGGGCAAATGTCTACGGTGGATGGTTTCGAAATCCATTTTGCACCTGGGGAAAAAAACTAGGGGTTGATTCCAATTCCATTCTTTTCAAGCATCGTTCTTTTCATAAAAACCGAACGCTGCTTCCGCCTGGGTATTTGACGGCTTCCTGACAAGATCCGGATCCCTGGAAGGAATGGAAATGGAAGATATCCCTAGAAAAAGCTAAGTTGAACCAGATGGCTGGGGGGAGCCACCACGCCAGTCTAGGTCCTCCAGTAGAGAGGTTAGAAAAGTTTCCCCTAGAAAGTAGACATCAGTCGAGCTTCTATCGAAACGACTGGGGTCTGAGTTCGAAAATGTTCCAGGAGCTCTAGTGGCTCCCTTCATCCGAAACAAATATCGAGAAAACCTAGGTCCTCCAGCTATATAGGTGCCCTTTCTCACCCCTTTGGTTGGGAGGGTTCCGAACGCTAAAATAGACCACAGAAAAAAGTTGGTACCAACTGATTCTAAATTCTAACCTCTCTGCTGGAGGACCTACAAGAAGTTCTACTCCCATTTGGGGTTGATTCCAAATCCATTCTTTTCAACCATCGCTCTTTTCATAGAAACCGATCGCTGTTTCTCCCGGGGTGTCTGACGGTTTTCCACAAAGAAGGATCCGGATCCCTGGAAAGAATGGACATGGCAGGTACCCCTAGAATAACGAGGAAGCGCTTCTTGGGTGCCCAGTGCAGGGACCCGGCTGGGGCCAGGTGACCCTTGCCATTACCCTCCTCTCCAAGCGAAGCCTCTTCGAAGAGGCGAAGTTGGCACTCAGGGGTGGGGGGTAGCTGGGTCCAGGGTGCTACTTGGCTATGGGTCAAAACCCAAATCGTACCCCCAGTGAACATCCAAATCCAACCACTAAAATAGGTTTTAAAATGGGTGGTGCACCTACCCCAAAACGGTTCCATTGGTTTTGCCCTGGGTTTAAGCCTATTTTGGGGTAGTCAACAAGTGGAACCCTGCTTGGGTCTGTCTTTGGGTGGACCCCCCTTTTTCTGGTGCCTAAAGGAAAGCCTAAAGGAAGAACTCATCTTGGGCGAACCCTAAAAAAGCGATCGGCCGCTGCCCAGCGGCTTCCGCCCATTCTGTTTCTCGACTTTGTTTGGGGTGAGGCTTCCCATTCCTTTAAACTCAAACAGGGCTCCTTAAAAGATCTCCATTTTGCAACCATTTGAAACATGGCTTTTTCAACACCAAGATAAAGTTGGAAACCACCATTTACAAGTTGCAATGTTCAGGTGTATAATGTAAGGATGCCTGTCAAACAACACCAAAAAAAAGGTGCAGAGTTGTTTTCATGGACATCCACTGCGCATCCTCAGGGGCTTTGGGATACTTCTCTTGCTGGTATAGGCAAGGCATGAGGAATCACCCCGAAATCAAGCATCCCCGATTTGGTTTCCTTCAAGGAAATCGCCCCGGAAGGTCATTCCCTACTGAGCACCAGCAAGTTCTTCAGACGGAGCAGCCGCAGACGGATCTCTCTTTGTATATGATGCGTGTAGGGACCTGCAGGGATATCAAACGGAAACAAACAATTAACTACGTTTTTGTTTCTCGATATTCCTGACCCCGAAATGAATTAACTACCTCTTGTTTGTTTTATTGTTTTTCCTTTTTTTTCCCTTCTTTTTTTCCCATAATCCTGACCCCGAAATGACAATGGCTAACTTTCCATGTTTTACGGACCTTTTGATCAACCCCCATAGAAAGCATCTGGAACATGGGGGCTTGGCGGTGTAGCAACCCGTGCCCTTCCGGCAGCCTCCAATGACTGCTGCTTCAATCGTTGTTTGGCCCAACATGCCATGAGGACCTTCCCATCGAAAGCTTGTTGAAGTGCACAGGCCCCGTTTTAAACATGATCCAATTTTGGACAGGGTTGTGCATGCCCATATTTGGGAGGGGAGTCTGAGTGGTTTTGCAAGGCTCCTTAAGGAACCTGAGCAACCCTAGGGAAAACTAAGTAACCCGAAAGGGGCTCTACCCACCCCTTGTAGCGTACCTACCCCGCCCGGATTCAGAAGTGGTATCCTGGGTGGATGATCCCTGAGGAATCAGTGAGATTTGAATTACTCTGGGGGTGTCTTTTTGCGGCCTCTTTTGAGGTTGGTTTGGGCAAGGAAAACGACCCATTTCAGGGTTCCCAACACAGCCGACAGCCCGATTTGTCTCAGGACTTTGGTCTGGGCCATTTTAGTGGTACGTAAAAGAAGAATCAAGAACAACATCGTTTCCTATTTTTCCGTGGCCCATTTCAGTGCTCAGGACATGAGGATTGCCGGGTCAGGGTTCCTGGGGCTCCAATTGGTTTCCAATTGGTTTACTTTCTTTTTCGTGACCCATTTCTTCGGGGTATTTTAAACAAAAGGAGAAGCCGAAGCCGTGTCCTTTTTTCGGCCAATCTCACATGAGGAGTGCAGGGTCCGCTTCCTTCTCCGATCGATCGGGCTCCTGGGGCCTGATGCTTGGTTTCTCTAAGAGGCCAAATTTGGTCGGGGAGTGCCTGTTGCACCTAAGACTAGGCCTGGCCAGTCGTGCAACCGCTCTTTCTCAGCCCTTTTGGTTGGGAGATTCGGCTCCCCTACTAAAATAGACAGAACAAAGTTGGTGGCCTTATTCTAACCAGATTCTAACCTCTCAAATCTGGAAGAAATAGAAGAAGGTCTACTCCCATTTGAGGAGGGGTTTCCCGAAATCGGTGGTTTTTTCCTGAGCCCCCAAAAAGCCGTGGCAACGCCCAGAAACGGCGGCCCAGCTTCTTTTGGTCGCCAGGCGGCCCTGTTGGGTTTGGACGCCTGCGACTGGAAGAACGAAGGCCCTTCGAAGAAGGTGCCGGGGAACTTCATCGTGTGCAGCGCCTCGGCCCGACGGCGACTTATGTTTTTTTGTTGGAGAGTTTCTTCCCCCTCCGCTTTCTTTGGGGGATGGTTTTGAAGGGACATCACAGGGAAGCCACTGTGGTTGTTTTGTTTTTTCGGCGTTTTGTTTTTTTTGGGTGGGGGGGTTGGGGGGATTGGCTTGGATGGGAGACCCACAGAGAAGCCTCAATTGTTCATTCTTCTTTCCCCCCCCCCCCGTTTTTTTGTTTTCCTTTGTTTTCCTTTTTTTTTTTTTTTTTCGATCGTGGGAGGGGAGATGCTCCTCTTATTTTGAGACAACCCCGTGAGGTCTTTCTCGGGACCTGAAGGTAGGGATTCACGTCCAACCTCTTTGGAGATTTCCTGTTGGAATCCATTAGCCCGGAGAAAAAATGAAGAGCAAATATGAAATTGCAGTGGTGTTAGTGTTATGAAGTCAAATATGTATGGTATTGCGTTGTTTTCTGTGTGCTTGTTTTGCTTGATGTCGGTGTTCATATCATGTGCTGCTTCGTGTGCCTTGTTTGTGTCTGTGTGTGTGTTGGGTATCCAGTTCCTTGTTCGCGTGTATATTCGTTTGCTTGCTTGCTTTTGTGTTGTCAAGTGCATTGAAAATGGGGGGGTCCCGTTGAATACCACGTTAAAGTTATACTCCAGGTGATTTAGAGGGAAACACCCGGAAGTAGTTCTGGGAACTCCTCAAGCACCTCCCGCAAAGAGCTCCTCCTCAATGTTTAGGGTATTTTAGGGTTTCAACAAGCTTGCTCAATGGTCAAGAGGGCCTTCACGTTGGGTGGTATTGTTGCTTCTTATCTTCTTTTTTCAAGGGGTGGGGTGGGGTGCGTGCCACGGTCTGGGTGGTCCGAAGAATGTGTCAGGGTAGACACCTTGCCAGTAGAAAGGAGAACCTTGACGGACCCCTTCTCTCACCCAGTTGCCCAGTAGTTCCCTTTTTTTCTTTATCTTTTTTGTCTTTTCTGGGAAGGGTTCCCCTTGAAAGTCAAGCAACAAAAATGGATGCCCTTTTTTTGCCATGGCCACTGGGCGGGAGCTCAATTTCGAGCAACAGGAGGCTTGGTGATTATTTTTTACGCATTGCAGGAGCAACATGCCAGTCGTCTGGCTCCTCATATTCTCACCTTCCGAGTTTATTAGTTTGCCACTGAAGTTGTTTTTGTTGTTTTTTCCACAAGTGCCTCAAGTCCAGACTTTCAGGCAGTGATCATGAAGTCTTTAAACATTGAGAAAAAGGGGTCCGAACGACCCGAGGCTGGAGGGGAGGGGCTTCGGTCTAGATTTCGCCAACGCCTGTTTTTTCCCCGTGGACATAGGCGCCGCGCTGGGGGCGGCACGGCAGGCGGGAAATTGGCAGCTTGCGCTTCAGCTGCTTCAGCGCCTCGACTCCAAAGTGAAGGTTGCCATGTGCTGAAATGAAACTTGTTTAGAACTTTCCCCTGATGTGGTTGGTTGGGCTGGGCTGGGTTGGGTTGGTTTGGCTTGGCTTGGTTTGGCTTGGGTTGGGTTGGGTTGGGTTGGTTGGGCTGGGCTGGGCTGGGCTGGGTTGGGTTGGGTTGGGTTGGGTTGGGTTGGGTTGGGTTTGTTGGGTTTGTTGGGTTTGTTGGGTTTGTTGGTAGGTTGCTTGGATTGTTGTTTGGTTGGTTGGCTGGCTGGCTGTCTGTCTGGCTGGCTGTCTGGCTGGTTGGCTGGCTGGCTGGGTGTTGCTTCTTGGTTGCCGGGTTGTTGGGGTTTCAGTTGCTCGGGTTTCAGGCTGGTACTTGGGTGTTGGGTTTAAGTTCTTGGTAACCTGGGAGTTACCCACTAGGTTTTCCTGGGTGGACTTATGTCTGTCAGTTGTGGGTTACCTCAGCATGCACTGGACGGTCTCACTCCTTGAGTTCCGGGACTCGGACTTTGGATACGTCTTGGGCCTGGACCGTTTTAGTGGTAACCCACCAGGTTGGACTTGTTTTGGCCAATCCACTCGGGAAGCGAGTATTTTTTTAATTATCCCACCAACACACGCAGGCAGAATATGGGTGTATTCTTATAGACCACACACATAAACATATATATATATATATACATATATTTTGATATATATATATATATATATATGTATATATAGTTGATGCATGTATATAGACCACTTGTAATAAGTGGGGAACATCACCTCACCTTCAAAGCCCTAGCCGAAGACCCCTGGTGCCAAATGCCCAGCGCGTTTTGTGGGGTATCGAGATGGCCTGAGGGCCCGGGGCACTGGGTCTGCCCGGGAGGGTTAAGCCCAGACCGGGTTTGAAAGGGAATTTAGACCTTAGGGTTTTAGGCCTTAGAGGGAATTTAGAGTGGTTTTAGAGGGTTTTTTAGCGGTTTTTCAGGGTGGAATTCACTTTAGCAACCTTTCTTCCCAGTGGTTTTAAGAGTGGTTTCAGACCCTTCTTGCAAGAATGCTGCCTGTTTTGCCACTTGTAACCTCCTGGAACACGACAGTTTTGCTGCGTTGTTGCCAACCTGCTACCTCCTGGAACGACATGTGCGCTGTTTTGGTAGCAACCTGCCACATCCTGCAAGACAGGTTTGCTCAAGAGCAACTCATGTCAGCGAATCGGCCCATTTTGGAGGCCCCATTGAGCTATGCCCGAGGCATGCAGAGACCGCGAGCATTGAGCTGGATGTGTCTTGGCGAGAAAGGCGGCGCCGTTGGGGCCTTTCGTGTTGAAAGTTCGACGCTTCCAAGAGGTGAGCCAAGTAATCCAGCTCGGAGGTGGGAGGCTGGGAGGGTGAGAGAGGTGGGAGGGGTGGGAGGGGTGGGAGGGGTGCGAGGGGTGGGAGGGGTGGGAGGGGGGTGGGGTGGTGATGCTGAAGCGCTAGGATTAAACCATTTGTTTTTTGGGTGGAGGCGATGATGAACATGGAGGACTCCACCCTCGCGAACCTCCCTTTAAATTCTCTGGACATAATTAAGTTTCCAAGTGCTCCAATCCCTGCTTCCATTTGCTGATATGTATTGTTTGTTGGTTTGTTTGTTTTTTTCCTCTGTGGTTTTAAAGTTGGCATCGATTTCAGTACTCAGCATATTTTCTTATTGTTTGAAGGGGGCAATTATTCGCAAATGAAAGCTTAACGCCGCAACACCCCAACCCAACCCCCCCCCCCCCCCCCAATCCCCAACCCCCGTTGGTCGTTGCCAGATTGTGGGCAAAAACTACGCCGCCAGGGGATCGCAGGTGTCATTCCATGTTTCCATTTACCACGGTTCCATTTTGGTGTTCCCCATTTTTGACCCACAGCCACACGCAGGTTGACAAGAGCGCAAACCAATGGACGGAGCGTTGAGAGGTAAATGGATCAATGTGGGAGGTTGAGCCAAATCATACTGTATTCACTATTCTAAAGAGATTGGTAGTGCTCAGCCGGTTGACCACTTTGCCCATTGAAGCGTGGCCCAGATTTTATTGAAGTTTCCCAACAAGTCGACGTTCGATTTTCTCACTCCCTGAGTTCCATTTCGGGCTTTATCCTGTTTAAACCATTTTTGTGGTAAACAAAAAGCTCAGACCATAGGTGTTCTTTTTAGCTTGGTTTGTTTAAACATCGATTCCACTGGTTTTGATTGGCTTTGTTCCGTTTGTGTAATTCACCAAAAGGACACATGGTTCAGACAGCTTGGGTTCCTCTCCCGCAGCACAATGACATCAAGCCAGGGGTATCTGAAAATATGCGTTTAACAAGGGAGCTAAGGAGCCACTACGAGTTCTGTAAGGACATGGTAGTTTAAGCACCAAACTGGTGCCCACTATCTTGAAAAACCACTCATATAGGTGTGGGTCAAGAATAGGGAAACACCAACATGGAACCCTGGTAAATGGAAACCAGTCCAATTTTCCTGGCGGCTTATGTTTGACCCATACCCATATGTGTGGGGGAACCGAAGGCTGGAACAGGAGTGGTTTTTTTTAAGCCCCGGCTCGGGGCTTAACCCCGCCGGCTAGGGGGCTGGTTGGCTGGTTGGCTGGTTGGTTGGTTGGTTGGTTGGTTGGTTGGTCGCCCAGCGCCCCACAACCAATCCCACCGAAGCTTCAGACCATAGGTGTCCTTTTTTGGTTGTTTTGCTAGGAAAATAGATGGCCCTGGTTCACCTGGTGGTGTAATCATCTACCAGGGCCATCTATTTCCCCTAAAAGGACGCCTATGCTTCTTCTGGCCGACGAAAGGCCACTCACCCGCTCCCCGAGGCCGGCGCCCGGGACGAGGCCTTCCGCGCGTTGCTTGCGCCCTCGCGCATTGGAAGCGGACGCGGCGGGCCTTCGGCGCTACAGGCGGCGGAGCGCCTGCAGCCAGGAGCGCCCGATGGGGGCGAAGTGCAGACCTCCTTGCATTTGGTTAAGAATATTTGTTAATTCTCCCCTGTTGGTTTGAAAGGGAATCTATCACTACTTTTTGTTCTTTTTCCAGGGGACATAACCAAATGGAGGCCTCACTGCCTCAGTCTCACCAGCCATTGGTGAAGGGATTGTGTTGGCCAAGTCCTCGTCTTGCCGCAACACTCCAAAAATATCCAACATACTCCAACTAACACAACATAGTTGTTGTTGGGAAGCATTTTGTCCATTTTTGCTTATTGTGGTTTAGTTGTTGAAATCCAACCACTTAACTGCTAACATGTTTAAATTGTTGCTCCCCTTTCAATGTCAGCCAAGTCTCACTTCCCGAGTTCCGTTTCGGACTTTAGGCACTTTTTGTGGAAGACTATTTTTCAGCGGCAAATAAAGCAGTTCGGACTTGTTTTGGGGCAATCCTCTCAAGAAGTGTGAGAGATTCAACCGTTACTCCTGTCTTTTTGGGTGGGATTTCTCTTCAGAATCAGCCAGCCAAGAAAGGGTGCCCTGAACAACTCAGTCATCAACTTGTCTTGTATGTTTAACTGACAATTCCACTTGTTGTTTGCTTTGGGGAGGACGAAGGGGCGGCCCGCAAAACAGCAGAGACATCAGGGGCATGGGACTGAACGGCCGGCCTCAAGTGGATGACTCCAATACCCTCCCATCAGTATTCATTGTTAAAAAGGAAAAACATAGAAGATAGAAGGACCCCCTCAAATGACAGAGAACTAGTTCTGTCCTTGGCACACATTTTTAGATGGGGTTGGCTTTGTTCCACCATTTCGTCCCCGGCCCAGGGGCTGATTCCCATCAAAAACGGTCAAGCGAAATGACCCAAGTTGAGCGAGCGAAATGATCAGCATATCCGGAGTCTTGAAGTCTGGACAAGGAGACTTGTTCACCTTGGTTTCATAGCTTGATTTCTGGAGGAAGCAAACCACAAACCACGCTACAACTACCACTGACTGGACAACTCCCGCTAGAATGCTACGGCTGGGATACTGAGTACTGCTCCAGCTGTCCACACACAGAGTCACTAGGTCCCCCAGTGGGAGGGTTTGCCTACTAACATAGACAGAAACAAGTTGGTACCCTTATTCTAACCTCTCTGGAGGACCTAGACAACGTATGAAAAAGCAAGCCTCAAGAGGTACGCAAAGGCGACGTTGAAAGCCACTGGTGTTTCAAGGAGTCCCTTCAACTGAACATTAAAGGTACTACTTAAAGACCTAGCTGGACCTGCCGTCGAGAATGATCTAGGATTCCCTACAGGTCCCCATTCAGTCTCGCCCCCAAGGGAGATTGAGCAACAAGTGATTTATCAACTTCTGCTGTTGGCATGTTTTGAGGCGTTTTCGATTGGTTGGTTCTGTTATTTTTTAGTTGCGGACTGCACAACCAAAGTTTCTTGCTAGCATACCAAAGCTTGGAAAGTTATGTCCCAATTCAATATCACCCTAAAAGGAAACTCATTTCAGCAGGACTCAAAGTTGATGTATCAACCGCCCAAACAGGGGGCATATAATTAAAGGACATCATTTAAGGGTCTCTTGTTTTTTGGGGGTTGATGACCCCATAAAACTGCTACTACCTCTCTGTCGACCATCCCGTGCATGACTGTGAATTTATATGGAAGAGTCATGACCACCCCGAAGGGTAGCTTTGAGCTCCCATTCGTGGGTATGATTTTTTGTTGGAACCCAGTGGATATGATTTGCATTGGGATTACTGTCTGCCAGCTGAGCTGGCTCATTTAACATCAAGGCCAATTGACTGGGAGAGTGCGGCCACAAGTAAACAGCGCCGATATTGAGCTGCACTCACACCCGTCCCATGTTTTAGCGAGCTCACTGGCGGTGCTTGGATGTCTAAGCAATTTGGTAAGTAGGTTATGGCCACGCTTATTAACTAGTGCAGCTGGGGTGGTTGACCCCTCAAAAGCATGAAGATATAGCCTACTTACCCTCCCACCGACTAACATGGAAGTGCAAAGGCCCCTGTAAAAAGACTACTTTCCTCTTGGAGAAGGGGTTTCTGCACTTCCATGTTAGTTGGTGGGAGGGTACCTGACGTCGGTTTTTCAACCCCATGTAGTTTGGGCTCCAACTACTTACTAAGTTGCTTGGACATCCAAGCAAGTAACACGAGCTCATATGTGGGGGTTGTCCCTGGGTTTTATGGGGAATCTGACCACTTTTGGAGGCGAACACCAAACATGCCCCCTATTACTAGGTCCCCCAGTGCCCTTTCTCACCCCTTTTTTGGGCGAGGGAGGGTTCCCCTACTAAAATAGACAGAAACAAGTGGGTACCCCTATTCTAACCTCTCTATTGGAGGACCTAGCCGAACACGCCCCCTATTACTAAACAGGGCTTCTTTGCTCCGGGGTCAACATCTTGACTGCTATTGGGTTGGATCTTTAGACTTTAACTTTTTCGGAAATAATGGTGTTTTCCACTAAACCCCAAAAAAGTTTTCCGCTTTTTGCAGGGGGGTCATTGCAGCAACCAAGGCATGAGGTCCCCCAAAACGGATCTCTTTGCAGGGCTGCGTGCCCGCTCGGCCGCGGCGGCGGAACTCGGGAAGCAGCAGCAGCGGCTCGGATCTTTGGGACGAAGCGTGTGTTGGATATATGGCCATGGGTCAAAACCATCGTACCCCCAGTGAACATCCCAATCCCCAATAAAAGGAGACTAAAATGGGTGGTGCACCTATCCCAAAATGGTACCATTGGTTTTGACCCATGGCCATATATGGGTGTGTCTTTGTTAGGGGAACCCCGTTTCGGCTGGTTTTAAAAGGAAACCAAATAGAGACACCGCCGATTTGGAGGGTCCCCTATTTGAGACACACGTGTATGGGTGTGTGTCTTGTTTTGAGGGCACCATCTTTGGCTTTAAAGGGAAACCGAAAGGACAACCACTTTTTTTTTGGGGGGGGGGTCCAAAAAGGAAGACACCCCCAAACGGGATGTAGAAGATCCCCCCCAAAACACGTCAGAATGCGAAGACGAGTGGAGATCCTCAATTTGCTCCGGCAAAGGAGCGTCTCTTGAACTAATTCGAGGAAGGCAAAAGGTCAAGGCGAGGACATCCACCATGAGTTGCCGTGTGCTTGTGATGCCCGTTTAGGTGATAGTTTAAAAGGGATTTAAAAGGACCACTTATTCTTCCCTCCTATTTCGAGAAAGATCCGTTCAGTGTGGCCGCGATTCTAGAGTTAGCGATGCAGGGATAGGTTGCGCCACGTCTGGAGTGAACTCCCCGAATTGTCCATGCACTTCTGTGGGCGACCCTGAGTACTTGCATGTCCAACCAACTTAGTAAGTAGGTTATAATGTTATGACTGACTGGGGCGATCCCACCAAAGTTACGAGCTGCTGCCTGACGTTGGCCATTCAAGCAGCTTCGGTTCTATTGGGTGTAGGAGAACCATAGCTCCAACACCAATCGGTTCGGTCGGATGTCGAGGCCTGATTCTTGGGTCGGGTGAAGCGCTTTGATGGGGTAGGCAAAGGTGCAAAGCTACGAAAGGTCCGGCAAGCCAACTTGAAATCACCGCAAATCACAGGGTGTTACTGGTTATATTATTGGAAATGGGTATGGCTCAACAAACCGGTACCAAAATGAAACCCTGGTAAGTGGAAACATGGACCAAAACCTGCGTAACTCTAGCTCTTTATTTTTGAGCCACTGCCAAATGTGTCTCCTTGGATATGTCAGGCTTGTCTCAACCAAGGTATCTGATCACTCCCGGGTCAGGAGTAGCCACTTTTGGGGAAGACCATTTCAACGGGGAAAACAAACAAACAGACAGTTTTTGTTTAACAGAAAAAAACAAAAAAACATCAGACAGTTTTGTTTTTGCCTTTTCCGAGTTTCGAAAGGAGGAAGCCTGGATTAGGACGTTGAGTCGGCTTTTGGTGTAGCGGAGGTCCCAGTTGAGATCAGGTGGCAGGTGTCACTGGCTCTCCTGCAGAGCGATCTGGATGCCACCGCCTGGGAGGCGAGCTCAGCTTCAGCTTGAAATGGCTGGGTTAAAGTCAACCAAAAAGGGATGCCGATCCTTGGTTTTCCATTGGCATCTGAGAAAAAGCATCCAGGTCGTGGCATGCATGTTTTCATTTAACAGAGTTCCCCCAGATGGCTTCTGATTTTTTTCCTTCAAGATTAGTCACCCCCAGGAATTGGACCGCAGGTTCTAGTCCTTGTTTCCATTTACCAGGATTCCAAGCCAGTTGGGGAAATACCAACTATCTTTGACAACCACACCCACGTTGACCCCAAAATGGGTTGCCCTTAAAATTGGGGACGTCTAGCCCGACGAATATTCCCACCAACTAACATAAACCTGCCGTTCCGGGGTCCAGGAAGACCATTACTGTTCAAAGGGACCCCGTTCATCCATGTTAGTTGGTCGGAGGGTAATCCTCAGAAGCTCCAAGAACCTCATATCTGTGAAATGTGTACTTGACAAGACCCTGCAACTTTCCTGTACAGACTTGGATTTCTGGAAAGAAAGGGGAAGCTTCCCAATTGGGGGAAATGGCGCCCCCCAATTTGGGTGTCCTTCCGTTCGCTGGGGGGGGAGGGGGGGTAAGTTGAATGTTCAATGTTCGAAAGGGAAGCCAAAGGGGACGGAAACACCATATCACGAATGAACTTTGTGCCCGTTTCCAAGGCCAGAAGTTGTTGTTGGCCAACAGGGCCGCAATACGCCAGACTCGCTTTTTCGCCCGGTTGTTCAGCTTCAATCCTGAATCCCTTTTGTTCCGGATCAAGAAGCATCCCCCCTCCCACACTCAGTTCAGCCCCAACATTACAATTCTTGAAGCAGCCTCCAACTACAGACTCTGTTGATGGTAAGTAGTGTGTTGCTTGCAAACAATCCTGACATGGAAGAGGGTCATGCTGAATGGCCTTGCTGTTCCTACATACTGTTACATACAACAACAAAGGCCAGCCTTGTTTGGCCCATCCACTCGATCGGAAGTGAGTCCATTTGCTGAATGACACTTGTTACTCTCCCTGGTTGGTTTAAAATTGGAATCGATTTCACTAAACGTATGTTCTCGTATTCTGTCCAGGCGATTGTTCGCAAATGGAACTAGGTCCCCCAGTAGTGCTCTTTTACCCTTTTCTGGGGGAGGGTTCCACTACAGAAAAACGGGCACCCACGTTCTGACCTCTACTGCAGGAAGGGAAGCTTCCCCTGGAAAAGGCGGAATCAAGCACCGGACTTGCCGGATTCGGCCGGCCGACTCAGCTCGGGCGAAGTCGATCAGCTCGAGGTGCTGCTGGGCGCGCTGCAGGGCCAATGGCAGGTGGCGCTGGCGGTGCTGAGTGACATGGAGGCGATGGGCGCGCGCGTTCCGCGCGATGCGAGGGATTTTCGTGGTGTTTGGCCCGTTTGACAACGTGGGGTTCTCGAAACTTGGTTGGTTCAACCAGCCATCCGGTTCAACTGATATATAGGCGTTTAGTGAGTTGTTTTAGTTCGGCCAAAACGTATGTGTTGCCCGCGACCGCCCGGAAGCGGGTCCCCGAGACCTCCAAAAAGCTTGGCAGGCGCAGCAAAAACGCACTTCCGAGCCCCACCCCGCCTCCATGCTCCATACCCGCTTCATGGAGCGCGGCGACTTTTCCTGGTTATACAGTGCTATCATCAACACAACCTAAACCTAAACCAGACAAGCCAGCCTCGGATGCGCCGGACAGCCAGCTCCAAGCAATCCTAAACCCGGAAAACCCTAAACCTAAACCCTAAAAACCCTAAAACCTAAACCCTAAAACCCCTAAATTAAAGCCCTAAGAACCCTGCAAACCCTGAAAACCCTAAACTAAACGCTAAAACCCCTAAGCCTAAACCCTAACAACCCAAAACCTAAGCCTTAAAAACCTTAAACCTAAACCATAAAACCCTAAACCTAAACCCTAAAAGCCCTAAACCCAAACCCTAAGAACCCTAAACCTGCCAGCACGATCATACATCATAAAAAGACCTTGTGGGCGACACGTATGTTTTGTGGGTTTTAGTTGGTTATACTGTTGAGTCTGGACAATTCAGTGGTAAAACACAGTTTGGACCTGTTTGGAAGGACTTTCATGAAGCCGTTTCAGAGGGGCCCTTCCTTTGGCTTGAAGGCGGCTTCGTTTTCCATTGACAAGGAGTTTGGAATAGGCTAGGTCCCGCAGTAGTGAGTTTACCTTGTTTAGCAAGGAACCCACCAGAGGGTCCCTCTAGGACCATCGCCTTCCAGGGCATTCAGGTTTCATGGCGTGGATGGGAGAGGGCAAGGCCTAACGGACGGGAAGCTCAGTGGCTTGGGGAGTTTCGGATGTGACGAGTAGGAGGAGTCAACCCATCATTTTGGTTTGGGGACTCCCCGAACACCTCACTCCCCGAGTTGGACTTTTTAAATCTTGGGAAGACCATTTTAGTCTAATATGTTTATATATTTGTTAAAGTTTGGTGACTTGTTATGTGCAATTTTTCTCTGGAGGGTGTTGGACGCACCCCAAACGCCCCGCAAAACCCGCGCTCGACCCGCGTGACTCGATGCGCCGATCCGCATCGGTCCGATCCGTCGATCCGTGGAGGCCTCCGGGAGCGTCACTGGCAACGGCCTGGCGCTGGCGGCGCTG